TTTGCGGGTATAAATTGGCAGCAGCAAGCACAGGACCGGGTTAACTGGCGGAACAAGGGAGAGGCCTTTGTCCTGCAGTGGACGTAGTCAGGCTGATGATGATGATGATGATGATGACTTGAATATATGACGGAGGTATAGAACTGGTACAAACACGGTAATCAGGCATGCGTGTCATGTGAGAACATGGCCACATGCCGCGCTCATAATTCGCCCGGGGTCGTTTTGCTATCTTAACATATGCTATACTTGGTATTACGTTACGTGAATGGATGACAAATATACGTGTGGTGCAAACATGATAATCATGAGATTTGTGTCATGTAATAACATGACTACATGCCACGCTCATGATGCGCTCGAGGTCATTTCACTAGCTTCATATATAGTAAAGTTGGTATTGCGTGACGTGAATAGATGACGAAGGTATGTGACTGGTTCAAACATGATAATCATTACATGCGTGTCATCAAAGAACATGACTACATATCAGGCCTATGATACACTCACGGCTGTTTCGCGAATTTCACGTGTACCAAATTTGGTGTTACGTGACGTGAATGGAGGACGAACACAAATGCCAGGCGTAAACATGATAATCAAAATTTGGAAGTCATGTACGGTATAATTTACGTCCGCCTAGTAACGTTGTGCGGATTTTATTGTGACAACTGAACCTTCCTCATTTGTCATTCACATATCATGAATTTGCAATGTACATGGGATCTGCCGATTTTTATACGCCCAGCACTCGCAACGATGGCCTCTGGAATAAAGAGACAATCTTCGTGGTGATAGCATGCTGCAGATGGCACTTATGTAAGTGTCGTTTTCAAAGTACATGGGGCCTGTATTCACACAGACACACGCACACAACAGAAAACGAAGTCTAGAATACTATATGATTTATTTATAAGCGGATCGTGCAAACCAATCTTTGCATAATATTGCGTTCATAACTTTGAATATATGCCTCTAGGAAATAAGTAAGAGAAACGAGTTAAAGTGGATGCATAGGTGACTCAATGTTGTTTGCGTCCACCTTTTTTCTTGAGCTCCTTCATTTGGGTTGTTTTGGTATGCGCTAAGATAAACGATTCGGCTGCTGTTACAAATGTATTTCGCTTAAACAGCCCGTCGCGGAGAGGATAGATTAGATAAAAGTAGATTAAGCTCTGTCTTTTTTTTTTACAAAAGTAAGTTTCGCCAGCTCTCTGTTGCTCCGTGTTATAGGAAAACGGTTTCGCTGTACATCGTAGTGGTGGAAAGAAAAGGAGTCGCCCTTTGTGGCTCAGCATGTGACAACCACCCACATGCGCTAGGTATAACCGCACGAAGTCGAGCGGTCATTCATGCGGCCGCCATGCAGATCCACACGAATGGCCGCAAGTGTTCTCTCTTGCGTTGACACACACACACACACACACACACACACACACACACACACACACACACACACACACACACACACACACGCACGCACACACACGCACGCACGCACACACACACACACACACACACACACGCACACACGAAAGAAACTAACCTAGAGCGCAGTGATTGTTTCTGCCTGTCTCCATACTCCCAAATGGTTTACTTTGGAGAAAAATATTAACATTAAATTTCAAGTGCAACTTCGCAAATGTGAGTCTGTTAATTTTGTGAGTTTGGTATTTCTGTCTTCTGTTTTGTGCGCATCCGTGCGCTTGTGTCAATATGTATGCCTTCGTTCCTGTCTCTCGATTCACGAGTACCTTTTACAGCTTGTTTCTCCCAACCACGTTTTTTAGCTGCAACTTTCAATAAAAGAGCGCTTCAAGCTTTTCGGTGCGTCTGGTTGGGTGAAAAAAGTGTAGAGTAGAGTAGAACTTAGGTTAGTGGCCCACACCCATGCTGGGGGATCAGCCAAGACCGTGTATTTTCCAAAAGAATAAATGTCGTCTAGCTAAAGATACAAACAAAACAAAACTGCAAATACTACCAATAGATGAGTAAAAACATGGCAAGTAACTCAGAGCTAGGTAATTTAGGAAATGGTGCATAGGAATATAACGCAATTTAGAAAATATGAGTAGGAGTTGGCTGTATGATCTCAATCTATTTGAAGATATATTGAACTCCTGCAAGACATCGGCAAGATTTCTGTGCACTGTGGCCGCACGAACTCGATTTATCCTCTTCTTCATCTTCTGCTTTGTTCTCACTATACAGACGCCGATTTTCCTGGGCAGAGAATGCAAATACAATGATGGGCGAACATGTTACAATGATGGGCGAACATGCCCAAGTACTGATGGGCGAACAGTGACTAAAACAATCAAACTACAACTAGTCGTGAGGCAAAAATCACGAAAGAACGCGTAACTAGTTGGATGACTACAAATGACGTAAGAGCTATTCACGTGAGCAAGATCAAGTTACAAATGATCACATAACGTGTCCCGGCAATAACAACGAAAGAGCTAGGCGCCTGACTAAAATCACAGCATCAAAGGTAACAGCTAATCAGGTAACATGTTCCCGCCGAAACCACGTGACACATGCGCAGTGTCAGGAACCAACAGAAAACGAAGAAGTGTAGGCAAGCGTAACCATACTGAGAACTACTAACAAAAACTTAGCCTCTTTACAAAAGCTTGGCATCACTAGCAAAAACTTACAAGCTAAGTTCTATGGTTCCGGCCTCGCACGACTAGTGCAAGCTGTACTTTTTTATCGTTAAAGTTCCGGAAATTTTAACCGTCTGGTGTTCTTTAACGTGCACTGACATTGCACAGGACACGGGCCTCTGCCATTTCGCCTTCATCGACATGCGATCGCCGCTTCTGGGATCAAACACGCAATATTCGCGTCAGCAGTTGATATATTTGGTTGATCCATAATTAGGTTTTAACGTCTCGAAACCACCATATGATTATGATGTGACGCCATAGTGGAGGGCTCCACAAACTTCTACCACCTGGGGCTCTTTAATGTGCACCCAAAGCTGAGCACATGGGCCTACAGCATTTTCGCCTGCATCAAAAATGCAGCCGCTGCATTCGGGATTTGATCCCACGACTTGCTGGTCAGCAGCTGAGTACTTTAGCCACTATAGACCACTGTGTTGGGGCTCAGCGTCAGCAGTCGAACATGGTAACTACTCCACCATTTGTGGCAGACCTGCTTTAGTAGCTTTTCTTGTATAGGCTTTTATAATAGGTGCCTTTCTGATTAGTTTTATATTTAGCATCTATTCCTGCAATTGTGTGCAGAGCGTTATTTGCCTTTTTCCCCCATTTCGTCGTGCATACCATGTGCATGAGGTCCCATTCAAATCCCTTACATTGGGAGCTCCGGCAGTTCATCCCACTTTGCAGAGTGACAGTACTTGATCTTGCTTGCGACTATACGGCTAAGTCTGAAAAAGTGGAGGCGGGAAAAGCGATAAGCTTATAAAAATATATGGTAAACATGTACCGTCTGTTTGAGTGACAAGAAGCACATGGCCCTGTGGCTGCACGCTGACGTTGACATCAACATTTCTAATAAAAAAAATGCCCCCACATACAGAAGGCAATTGTGAAGAAATGCAAATGTATCACGTAGCGTCCATAACGGCAGTTCACACTTGAAAACCCAATGTTACAAGAATAACGAGATCAGAACGCACTGTCTTCAGCCTGTGCCAAGGCAGCAGAAACGCTACAAACGTGTTTCAAACAAACTGCATTGAGGCGATGGCAAGTCACGTTCAATTCAAAGAAGGGGGGGGGGGGGGAGGCTCTGGTTTCCAGGAGCGACGATAAGCGCGCGAGCCCGCAGGAGTTGCTGACAGATTTCAGCGCCGAACCGTGACATGATGGGGGCTCCGGTTGCTAGAGACGCGCGCGCCCAAAGCTGCTGCCTTGGGAAAGGGTGGTGGACGGATCCCGATGAACGCCTGACATAGCCCGAATAAAAAATACATTCGCATTTAAAAGGTCAATAGTCAGAAGATCAGATGTGTTGCCAAACTGCACAATTTTATTCTATACTACACTATACTAAGCTATACTATACTTTACTATGTTTTTACTCGATTACGTGTCAATACTTAGGTTTGAATTTACAAAACTTATTGTTTCTTAGTCCTCTGTCCTAATGGCTGGTCGCTCTTGTTAGTCATCTGTCAAGCATAATGATTGACTGGAATATTATTTTGCAAATAATTTGTAATTGGAAAAAAATTTAAACGAGGAAATTTTTCACTGACTTGTTGGCCCTGAAGGTCGTAGTCATCAATAGAAAAAATATGAAAATATCAATACTTCAAAAGCTTCCCAATATAAGAAGTGTTGGCAGAATCCCATATTACGGAAATTTGGCGGTTCACAGTGGACCTGCAGAATAAATAGAGAACAATCCAACCATCACCCCCACCCTTTGATTAAAGGCTCAATGTCAATTGGGAGCTCTCGTCAAAGCACCGCCTAGGCAATCATACAAGCCAATCAGCGCAGTTTTCAGTAGATCTTCTATAATTCTAACTTTCATATAAAAAATTTAATATAAAAACTTTCATCTAAAAAGTAGACCTTCTATAATTCTAACTTTCATATAAAAATAGAAAAGTCAGTTTAATCAACCGTTCAATAAACGCCAAGAAAATATTGTGCTCGCTCCATAACACATATGGAATACCAGCTCAGAAAGCTACCCATTTTCATGGCCCATCTGTTTCCAAATGCTTCGACGAGGGCGACGATTGGGTTATTTGTTCTTCGGGTCACCAACTAATTAAAAAAAGAGATTACACGCAGACAGAAGCACTATAGATTTCGGATCAAACTGCACCCACGAATCAAGGAATGGTTTTTAACTATATGGAACTAAAATTATTTCAATTAAATGGGATGGGGGATATTTTCTGCGCAAGTTGATTATCCGAATTCGCTCGACACTATGCACCTCGTACCATATTTTTGGTGCAGCATGCTATGCACTTCTCACTAGCTTGACGATTATTCGCTCTGTTTCAGGTAATCTTTGAAAATACTACGGCTGTGGGCGTTGAAATTAATTCTGATGGCGTAGTTTACTACGTGGCTGCCAAACGTGAAGTCATTATTTCTTCAGGAGTGATCGGATCACCACATGTCCTTTTGTTGTCCGGCATTGGGTCAAGCGATGTTTTAGACAAATTCCGGGTAAGCCATCTGACACAGTGTACCTGAATTTAGGTGCATGAATGCGCACGTACGCACACATAAAAACTGTACTTGGTAACACTTAGTGGAAACAAACTGAAAGTGGTGACTCAACATGTATATGGGTGAGCCGACATGACACGGAGGTTTAACAAGCCACTCTTTTCACCTGGACTTGCTGTTTTTGTCTGTAGCGTAGCTGAACTCGGGGAGCTAAAGTTAGGCTTAGACCATCTGCCGGAGCCTCGGCTGCTACCTAAAACGTGCCTTCGCATCCCGCACCAGCAAGGTTTCAAGCGGCGGGGTGCCCCTACGGCCGGTTTGCAGCACCCAGCAATGGTCCACTGCCAGCCTCAGCCTTCAGTGGTTTCCCTGACACGTGAAACAAGCAGATCTGTCTCCTCGTGGCCACAGCACATTGACTGCTCCCTAACACTTGCACTATGCCCCCGGACGTGAACGCTGCCATTCGTGCGCAGCGCGTTGTCCAACTTCTGGGAACCCACCTCACCAAGGGGAAGTGGCAGAGACCCCATAAGCAGTCGCTTTCTGACACACCGTTGATGAGCCACTATTTTCAATTTTTACTTAATTTATGCAGGAGTGCACTCGATGTGTCTCACATAAGAACTGACACGCTGCCGACGGCCACGCAGACAGGACGTCTGACACGCACTGTTCCACTTTTCGGCGCCTATAGCGGTGCGCCGTAACATTCTATCGGTATTATGGGCACTGGACCACGACATACTGCTCAAAGCGTCGCACTTTTGCGGAGAACCCAACTCAAGCTAGTGTACATCTTGGAGACGACAAGCTTGTGCTTGTTGAGAAGACAGCAGTGAAAATAGGCATGCTGGCAAACTCTTTGTGTTAAAAAGGAGCGCCTATAGGATGAAAAATACTGAAAAAAATCTCATATATTCGAATATCCAGACATCTTTGATATTATCTATGGTGGCACATCAGGTAGAAACTTAATTGACCAAAACTAAATTAGAAGCTGTGTCTGAACTAGTTCTTATAGTGACATTTTTAAAGCGGTAAGCGCACGAAGACAGGAACAGTGAGCAAACGACACACAGAGTGCTACTTACAACTAGTTTGTTCAGCAAAAACATTCCATATATATGCAGTTTCCTCGCTCATGTCGCAGTAACACGCAGGTTCATGAGCAAGACTATCGCATTTTTCGCTAAACAATCAAGGGGTCAATGTGTGCGCGGAAAGAGGGCAACGAAGCATGCAACACTCTTGACACCATGCAGAAGTTGCTGAACGACCCGATAAATACGCTATTAACACTACAACCGAATGAGTTAAAAAGGTGATATGAACAGGAGTTTAAGCAAAAGCGGCTAAACAAATTAATGTTATTGAAAACAAAAGTATTAAGACTCACAAAGCAGGTCATGGAAAGTAAAACAAGCATTATAAAAAAAGCTTTTAACAGTTTAATAGCAATAAAAAGAACTCTTAAATGTTGAAGCTTGTTAGGCAAACACAACACTACACCTCATATGATCTACAAAAATGCGAGCTCTATTTTAGGAGCCACACAGCGATGCTTCCTTCGTAAGGTTCCTTGGGAAGTTTCTTGGTAAACTTCCCGACGATGATCATATTCGCTTCTTCGGCCTTGAGCTGCACCGTACCCTGAAGCGGAACGCTGGGAAACTGAACACTGGCTTGAGATCGACTTGATGGCACCGAAGCCCTCGACATCTCTAAAGCAAGCGGCTAACGAGCGATAGCGGTCAGCTGTAGTGAGGCAATATTTTAGCCGTAGCGAGAATACTACATGGACACTTCGCTCACTCTGCCCGTAGGCGAAGAAAAACGTGAAATAAACAATGAACTTGAGAACCGATAGGACACAATCAACGCTGCTATAGGGACAACACCATGCATACGAGCCCAGCAAACATTCCGCCGCAAGACTAAATCGGCGACGTAACTTTGCAACACACAGTGACAAGTACTACGCTCGCACTGACACATACCAAAAATTGTTCAGAAGGTGCACACTCCGTTTTTTTATGCCATTAACACACGAAACATAATTTTTCCTTCACTTTAGTAACATTGTTATGTTGTATTTTTTCCATAATTTCACTTAAAAGTAAGATATGCGAGGCCCGATGCCATTTCTCTTATCGTCCGTTTTATTTGCCTTGATATGTGTTGCTATTCTCATCTCGAACTTTGTTGCAGATACCTGTTATTAGTGAACTTACAGGAGTAGGACGCAACCTCCAAGACCACGCTACAGTACCTATATATGTCAACCTAAAGGCTCCCGTTAGCATCAATGAATACAAAATAAAAAGTGTATGGCAAATATGGAAGTACATCTGGGGTGAAGGTAGGTCACATGTTTATCCTAAGTTTCTTAGCAGCATCCTGATTTTCGTAGAGTGTCAAATACTCGTAAAATACATCGACAGCTGTTACCTGCTAACGTCCTTAGTCATTAGATTGCGTCCACAGGGATTGTAGCTGCCTGGTGCTGGAATCCTAAGAGGTCTTAATGTGGTTTTAACGAATATAGTGAATGGGAACGGCCGCCACACCCCACGATAATTTGAACGTGGGTCGCAGCGTTGACCTCTCGACCACGCTGACAACGCTAAAACGCAAAAGGATATCGGGGAGAGTGGTAGTGCCGCGAGTTCCAATGATCAGGGGCTGACGGGCCAAGATGGATGGACGCCGCGCGCAGAGGTTTATCTATTGAGTACCCCCTAGACGGGAGAAATAAATGAAGCCAGAGGTAAAACGAGCGAGGTAGGATAGGAATGGACATGAAAAAATTAGGAAGAAAAAGTTGCATATTTCTAATTCTCTATCCCCGACGAGCGTCATATTTACGACAATTTTCAATAGAGTCGACGCTGACAACACAGTTGTTTGTTGTTGTTGTTGTTGTTGTTGTTGTTGTTGTTGTTGTTGTTGTTGTTGTTGTTGTTGTTGTTGTTGTTGTTGTTGTTGCTGTTGCCAGAGGAAGGGTGCGATCAATCGTGGTGCCTGGATTCTGTTGTTTCAGAGTGCAAATTTTATGCATACTTCCATGCTTCTCACGACGTCCTCATAGGCTAACTATATATGCGAACAATAGGCACATAGGAGGGCAAAAGAAAATGGTTGCAAAGCGCAACGTAAATTGAGTGACAGTCATAGAGATGAAAGCGGAGGAAGTTAGGCTGCGCGGAGGATGAAAAAAAAACGCTACTCAGCAGAGGATGAGGGACAGCAATATTGATAAAGAGCGTGAGAAGAAAAACAGAAGTTGAGACACGAATTTTCTTGTTCACGCTTCCTTTTCTGAACAATGGGCAATGCCTCCGGTGGAAGTGCTTCGACTGACGCCGCTGCTGAGTGAATTCCCGGAGAGGCTCAGTGCCATTGACGTAAACAGCCTGCTGCTCCCGAATTTCGCAATATGGAATATCGTAATTGTCGGTGACATTGTTTCATGATGGCCCTTCTTCCATAGAATCAGCATCTTCATTTTTTTTGCCACCTCTGCTTAGCATAAAACAGAACCCTCCTGCGTTCTCAACGATGGTTCATAACGCAGTAGTTAAGGTAGACCCTCAGTTCTATAGCTTCTTTCTAACCGCCCCTTCACCAGGAAGCGCTGTTGCATGCCACTACTTTGCATTATGGTTAGGAGAAAGAGTGAACGCCGGGAGGTTGCATTATGGATGAATGTAAGACTTCGTAAAGGTATGTTGAGGCAAATCGCTAATTTCTCCCAAGGCTTTGCGATGCAAATAACTGCTTTTGTTCTACATATTTATACAACAGTTTAGTGCTGTCACGCCGGTCATAACAATCTTTCAAATAAATAAATAAATGGAAGTGGTCTGCCATAAGTGCGCGAAAGAGGACGAGGTGGATTGAGAAGGGACTGAAAGAAGTTAGAATAAAGTGTCGGATGACACCGGTCTATCATAGATTATCTGTGCTGAATGAGTTATTTTTTAGTCGGAACGCTATATTTCGGCGTAGCCGTCACCTTGTAAACACCGGAAATGTGGGTTACCTTCTTCATCGACAAGGAGTTATTGGAGCCCCTGGTTTTCACACGGTATCAAGTCCATGGTGAGCCAGCGAGGGACATTCCTCGCGAAGTTAGCTCGACCGGACTGATGTACACGGTACTGGAAGAAGCTTCGATGAGCCGTCAAGCCCTTGAGCAAACAGGCTCGGTGAAGGTGAACCTGCAGCTCCAGACACTCAGCGAACTGGTTCTGGAACCCATTCGTCGTGGCACCTTCAAGCAAAAAACAGCTTCCAAGAAGGTGAGCGTCGTTTTGACTGCTATTAAGCGACAGCAGTGGAGCATGAGGCAACAAACTGAAATAATTGAAATGTGGATCAAGTCGCTTAACCAAAAAAGCCACAACAGATTGTAGAACCAGACCTCTTTGAAGGAGACTCGAAAAATGCAGACCATTGAGTGTGGTTTTTTGAGTATGCATGCGAAAAAAAATATGTGGAAAAGTGAGGATACAACGATTGTAAAGATGCGCCGTTATATTGGTGCCATCGCGAGGAAGTGGTATGACTTGCAACTTATAGACAGAGCACCAACGTGTTGGGAAAGGTGGAAGAGCAACTTTTTGGCGACCTTACAAAGCAATGTTGTAGAAAGATGGGACGTGGTACTACGCTTTACACACACGCCTGGCTCTTTGCTGGAGTACTTTCTCGAGAAGCGTCACCCACTGTATTCAGCTGAACCAAAGCTCCCATAATCTGATGATGTAGCTTTGGTAGCGCAAGGTTTTTCCGCCGACATCCACCGTGAAATGCATATTAGTGATTTAAGAACGCTTGATAATCTTCTGTGAAGCATGCAGACCTTAGTGACATCGTTCTCTTCACGAGAACAGTGAAGTTGTGAACAAACGCTTGATGAAGAAGGGCCATTTTCAGCAGTACACGAGGCAGAGCTTCCACGTGAGCGAATCATACGCGATGACAAGCCCCAAGCAGAAACCTGTACGGAAACAGTTTATTTGCTATTATCAATCTTGCTTTACGCCTCTATTAAAGTAGACGGCACTGAAATGAAGGCCCTTGTTGACAGTGGGGCTTCTGTCTCTATCATCAATAAGAGTCGAGTGAATGGCGGTCGCCTGCATGTGGGTAGAGCATTGCGCGTGCAAGCATATGATGGGTCAGTGAGCATGGATAGGGAATTAATTACCCTAAACATTGAATGTCAAGGTCAAACAATTACAACTAACATATTGGCCATCTCTGACGTCAGCTACAATTTCCTTTTGTCACGTCCGCACATGAAGAGGCTCCATAATAATATCTATTTGGATGACAGACCAATGGTCGAGGACAACGTCGGACGAGAAGATCTCTCTCAGGCATCTGACGAAACAAGGATAATTTTCGACCCGGAGGACAGTACATTGAAAAACCGAGAATTTATATGCATGGGCACTACCCTCCGGCAATGAAATCTCACGTTGTCCCTTTGGAACTTAGTGGCAAAAGTGTTGTCCGCAGAGTTCCTTATAGCATGTCCAATGATAAAAAGATGTGGCTGAAAAAGGAGCTACAAGAAATGTTGAATGCCGGTATTATGGTAATATCCGCCCTTCTGTTTCTTCATTTGCTTCTCCAATAACTATTGCCCCAAAATAAGACGAACATTCAGACTCTGCACAGATTATAGGGCACTTAGTTGTCAAACAGAGTTTATACCCTATGAAATGCCGAGGATCGACGATGTCATTGACGAGACTGGTGATTGCCATAATTTGTAAAGAATATACATTTGCAAGGGGTTTTAGCAAATCCCACTAACTGAACAAAACGAAAAAATACACCACATTTATAATCCTTTTTGACTTATTTGAATACACCCACTGACCATTTTGTTGGAAAAATTCTCCGGCGCATGGTTGTAGAAAGTGATGACTGATATTCTGAAACCTTATTTGGGTATATTCCGCAACGTATTTTGGAACACCGGGATCATCTTTCAAAAGTTATTCATACTTTGAGTTTTTCGCAACTCAAACTCAATTTCAAGAAAAGTTTTTTCCTTGTCGACAAAGTTGTATTTCTTGGAAGGGTGTTCGACAAATGTACCAAAAGCACAAAAAGAGAATCAGGAGAAATAATTTCTAAGGTCGCAAAACCTTATGATGTGCACTCACTGCGTGTTTTCCTTGGCCGAGCAGGACACTTCAGAGCCTTTATTAAAGATTATGCACTGAAGACACGATGCCTTAGATGCTTAACACAAAAAGGCGTATCTTTCTAATGGAATGAGGAGTGCGAAGCGGTTTATTCTGAGATTGTAAAGCTAATATCACCGGATCCCATCCTGCGCATACCGGACTTTTCTCTGCCTTTCGTACTGAACACGTACGCATCACACTACGCAACCGGTGCAGTTTTGTATCAGAAACCCTCAAAACAGGCTGATCCAACGAAATATTACGTGGTGGGATATTACAGCTACTAAAGCTAGCTGAAATTAATTATTCTACTACAGAGAAGAAAGCGCCGTTCAGTATTTCAGAACATGGCTTGAATGGGTTAGGTTGAAGCTATTCACGGACCATCAGGCACAACTTTTGAATATGACACAACCAAGAGGACGCATTGCTAGATGAGTGAACTATCTCCAGCAATTTGATTTCACAGTTTCGCACCGCCCTGGCCCACTTCTCACTGATGCTGATGCACTGTCTAGATTGCTTGTTCATGAGACCTGCGAAAATCCAGAAATTATCGATCACATTAGGATATCGGAAGCTACAGAAGATCTGCAGTTTATCGATGGAAATTATCATGTCCCATCCACCCTGATTCAAAAGATTCTTCAACTCTACCATGACACTCCTAAATCAGACGGACACGATGTCTTCTGACGCACATACAAGAAATCGCTTATGAGGTTCAAATGGCCAGGTATAAAAACAACATCAGTAATTCTGTCCGGACCTGCCATCCTTGCCAGGTAAACAAAGTGAAGTACCACCAATCGACAGAAGTCATGACTAACCCTGAATATTCAAAAGGTACCCTTTGAATTCGTTCATATAGACTTCGCAGAGCTTTAAAAAAAGGGGGAAGGAGTTAGACGAACGCAAGCTTTCCTGCTTTCCATTGATGAATGTGCCAGAAATAATATGGCCAAAGCAGGGAAAGAAGATGCGAATAGTGTCATCAATCTACTAAAATATGCGTGTTTTAAGCACTCCAAGACGCTAGTCTGCAATAACGGCCCTTATTTTTGTAGTACGAAGCTAGCAAGATAGGCTAAAGACCGAGGAATTGTCATTAAATATTCTCCGTATCACCCAGCAGTGAACGGATTAGCAGAACGGGCCATACGGGACATCAAACAGTTTTTGAAGATGTATACAGACTTTATCGGAGGGTGGAAGCGCTGCCTTGAGGCCGCTGTGAAGCACCATAACCGATTGTTCACCACGGGTTTAGGCTGCAGTCCTCATTTCGCTACAACTGGAACAGCACCCATACTACCGGCAGATCGTGATCTAGGTCACCTAGAAAAACTCTAACTTACGGAAGCTGAGAGAAGTGCCGAAAGTCAAGAAGTGTATAAGCGGTGGATGAAGAGGAATTTCGATAAAAGGCATAACAGCGACACACCACCCATGCAGCCGGGAGATTGTATTCTTGTCAGGAAAAGAGTTACTCCTTGGAATACCAAATGTTACGGATCACTCCAAGTTGTCAAGACCAGATCTCAGCACGGGATTCTGAAGAACGTGTGATACACTGCAGCCTCGAGTCAAAAATAGTGCGCTTCCATTGGTAACATATTCAAGTATTACACCAGAAGGTGTAATCGAAGAAGTCGGGAAGAGTGAAGTGGTCTGAAATAAGAGCGGGAAAGAGGACGAAGTGGAATGAGAGGAGACTGAAAGAAGTTAGAAATGAAATGGGGTATAACACCCGTATATCATGAAATATCTGTGCTTAATGTGCTAGTTCTTAGACGGAACGCTTAAAAAACTAAATAAATAAATAAATAAATAAATAGGCAGTCACATGATATAGGGCTGCTCCACTATAGAGTTATCTTTATTATGAAAAATTGCTGTGATCGAGCAGGTGACAGATCGAACATAATGAAAGTACTCCTTCTTCCTCGTTTTCTTTCACAGGTAAAGCTCATTAGGACCTAGCCTTGTCTTGTGTTGCGGTCACGGTATAGAATCGTTGCTATACTCGAAACATATAAAAGGCACGCACACACACACACACGTACACAAACACACACACACACACGCACACACACACACACACAAAAAGATTTTACAATAAACTTCAACGGGGACATGAACTAACTATACAGTAAGAGGCCCCTGTTCCCGGCTAAAATAACCTATCAATTATTGATGAGTCTAGTAAAATGTACCTAGATCTTCAGGCTTCTCAAATAAACCTGTTAAACAAAGGCACATGTCGTGAACTATATGCCCCAGCGAATTGCCTCTACTGATATAGTATCTTGCTATCGGTAAGATAGCTGGTTCTTGAAATCTATTTCGAGGCATATACATCCGCTTTAGCAAGTTTCTAAATACTCCTTGAATTGCCTATGACGAATGGAAGGCGAATTAAATTTACATGCATTTCTGTATACACTTTATGTCACCCAATTTACATTATAGAGAGTAAAGCTCGGTACTCATGGTTAATCACCCATAAGATGCCCAGAGCTTCACCCACTCGTCTTCATTCACATCGTGTAGACGCGTGAATATTTTTGTTTTTGTATTCTCCCTTTGTGTCCTCACAGCAGAGCAGTAACAACAGAATAGTTATGACTCTGTTTCAAGCAATGTACTGCTTGTAACTGTCTTTTTTGTGAAACAGCGACACAGTTATCTTACAGTCAACTGTCAATTCAATGAGATGCATGGTAAACTGGAAGAAATGATCGCGACTACTTCCTCTTTCAGGTCACCTTACTTCCAACGCCGTTGCGTCCGTTCTCAGGACGAATGTAAAGGATCGCCACCTCCAAGCAATGTTTATAGCAATGAACTTTGGCTCCTTCAGAGAAGATATACTTGTAAAAATTTCTAATCTCAAGAAAGAGGTAAGGAGTGTAGCGAAAACTGAATGCTTACCCAATCGAACTTCTGCTACACCTCTGGGATGTCTTGCTTAAACGTTATGCCTTTAATCTCTTAAGAGTTAAATTGAAACAGCGCAGTACGCCTCGTAATCATATCGTGGTTTTGGCACGTAGAACGCCTGATATATTATTAGAGCTCAGCTCTGAGCTCCCGTTCTTTCATTGAGTGGCGTCGCCGTCGTCGTAACCGACAGAGCAAACAAGGACAACAGAGAGCGAACGCCGAGCACAAGGGAGTATCAGGAAACTGTTCCGTGGGGGTCACTCGCGGTGCCATAGTGCAGTGGCTGATGACGGCATCATTAAGGTATGTGGAATGAGTGTCCACGTATGCCATACATGTATATAAAGCATTCCACAAAGAGAGGCCTGTCTGCGACGACTCTTTTGGAACGCGCACACGCGCTGCCACCTGCGGTTTCTCGGTTAGCGAGGGCGATCACGCCTAACCTTATCGCAATATCAAAACACCTAAACAGCTGCGCTCAGAATTGATATTATAAAGTGTAGTAATTGTCGGTGATTTTATTATTAATATTGTTATTGTTGTTGTTATTGTCGTCATTGTCATTGTAGTTGTTGTTGTCGATGTTGTTGTTGTTGTCGTCGTCATCGTCGTCGTCGTCGTAGTCATAGTCATCGTCGTCGTCGTTGTTGTTGTTGTTGGTGGTGTTGTTGTTGTTGTTGTTGTTGTCGTTGTTGTAGTTGTTGTTGTTGTTAGCATCGATCAGGTCATTCTCAATCACGCACACACTCGCCCCCGCCATTCGACATCCGGAAATTTGAGAGATGATTTTTTTCATCCCTTTATCAAAAACAATGCCTCATTAAAAACACGTTAAGGGGACATGATACGGGGTAATACAATTGTGGTTTTAGTGAAAAATGGAAGTAGGGGGTCTATCTTTTCTGTACACGCATTAAAAAGTCACAGCTTTGCCGCGTAGATGAAGCAATGGACGCGATAGCCACAAATTGGAACGTCACACGAAGAATGACAAGCGCATTGAAACGTTCCCCGCGTTTCTCAAGCACAAGTGACGCATGAAACGTAATCACAGGTAGAGATAAACACGAATAACGTATGAAACATGCTAGAGAACCTGAAAACGTGCATAGCCGTTGAATTCCTTGCTGTGTTTCAATAAGCTTTCTCGGTGACTATGTATACTCGTGCGCATGTTGTCAAGTGCAGTTCGTGAGTGTGGCAGGTATGATTGTACAAAATCAGTTTCACCAAAAAGGTGAAGAAATGAATGTGATAGCGACAAATTGCAATGTTATACGAAGCGAGGCTGGCAGTGAACTCATTCAGTTCAGATCCCGCGTAACAATAGAAAACGCTGGCGTAAGAGAACACGGCCGCTCCAGCTACACTCTCGGCACCTTTCTTTCGTGTTGAGAGCGCAGCGCGTAGAAGCTCCCGTCGGCTGGGGGGGGGGGAGCTTCTACGCGCTATATATTGTTATCTGACTTTGTTCCTTTTCTCCTGTAGCCGGGTATGCACCCGTGCCTGAGCACTGCTTTAGTCATCATTGCACTCGGCAACGCTGCATGCATGCAGTCCTGCCAAGCTTGCCCTCCGCAGGCACAGGTCCTCTCTTCGAAGGTGGAAACATTCAGAGGACCTAGGCCATGAACCACCATAGGTAGAACTAATGCCTCTGGTGGGCGGCATTGGCTGCCTCGCAGATGTTGGCCATGGTCACGGTGCGTCTTGCATTGAAAGTAAGGCGATGATGGCTCTGGTGGAGGCCATTGACATTGTCCTGCCGGTCGTTGCGTCTTTCTTTGAAAGTAGGGCCACGGTGGCTCTGGTAGACGCCACTGACTGTTTATAAATGGTTGTCGTCAGCCCGTGGATCCTGAACACCGAGTTGCCAATAACGTCTCTGGCGGGCGGTATTGGCTGTGCCTGTGGGGTTTTTCTCGTGAACGCCATGACTCGCCTTGTGGGGCTGTCGAACACTCGTGGGTGACCTTGGCTATCTTGGGGCGGCCGCAGGACGCTTAGCAGGCAATTTAGTTAGCAGAGCTTGAGGCACTGGTCTTCATTCCCGTCGGCGTTCTGGACAGGCCACAATGCCCGGCCTCATGCTTTGATGCAGGAGCCTCTGCGCTGCCATCTCTGCCTCCTTTTGTTCTGCCGCTGCGAGGAATAAACAACTCCTTGGTGGTTCTGTAAGACGAAATTCAGACGAGTTAACGCCACCATAACTGCACATCACGCTGCAGACACCAGGGGCATACGAACGCGTCGCCTCGCTGCACCGTGCGAGCTGGATGCCGTCTGACCGATCTACGTCGGATTCCTCCTTGATGCAGACTGTCTCCTGGTGATCCGCACGACTTTAATATGATCTCGAAGTCGTGTTGAATTGCCCGTGATTCCCAGTGGGACCGTGGTACGCCGAGAGGCCGGAAGGGCTGATGTTGACTCCACCTACTTGCTGCGCATCGCTAGCGTCGGTCAAGGCGCGGTGAGCAGATCCTAATAAAACAGGCATATCGTCCATTAATGTGTCGATACGATGTGACAGTTGCGTGAAAGTGCACAAGAGCTCTGCGTAGCTGGCGGGTGAGGCAATAGGAGAAGAAACCACGTCCTCACTGTATACGGGGGTTGTAGCACTCACTGAGGAAAGATTCACGCTGAAAAGAGCATGGACAGCGTCTTTTAGCAGCTAACACATGAGGGCAGGAACCTTATTGCGCAATCCACGACTCGGGAAGCGTGAACCGCATTTCCAGGAAGGAGCCCTTGCACATACGCATGAAGTAGCGCGCCGCTGGTCAAGCAGTTCTCTGGGACCATCGTGGAGGCCTGGGCACCGTCCACTGATGATGGGATGAATACTTGCGGTTGTGGTCGACTTGTGGGTTCCATCAACGAGGAAGCCTAGGAGTGTTCCTCTGGTAAGCGCGTTGCCTCAAGCTAGCAGCTGGGGTTCACCAAGTTTTTGGACGACTGCGTCATTGTAAAAAACGAGACTCGGAGATAACGCCCGTTCACTGGGCCATTCGTTCTTTATCCGAGTTCATTCTCTTTCTCCTCTAGTCGGGTATGCGCCCGTGCCTGAGCCCTGCTTTTGATTCATTACAATACATACATATACATATCCGTGAATGACGATGGCGGTGGCGGCGACGGCAAAAAACCAGCTGAGATGGTCCATATAATTGCTATTGCAATAAATTGGACCATAAAAGAATAGTTCATTGCGAAATGAGCCCTAGAAGTCACCGGCTATAAGCTCTGCTGGCTGCAGTAGACGGCCATTTTGCGCTGGTGTGTGAAGTCATGTGCCCCACGGAGTGAATCTGTCGTCTTCTAAGTTTCAGCCACTGCAAGTCAGCCATTTTTAATGCCAAGCTGAAGAAAGCTGAGATAGCTCTATTGTACGCGCATCTGACCACACACATTCACAAAAGAAAGAAACTGTTGGTCCGAATACAGACGCTTGCAAAGCAAGTGGCTCATTACATCCAGGCTTGCGAGTTGTCAGGTGTTGTCAGACTCTCGGGCCACTCATGTGTTCATAAGATTATTCTTCATGGATCTAGTGATCGACTAAATGGAATGAAATTTCGCCATTTTTCGCGAACAGCCAAGGAATAACCTTCATATACAGATTATACGCCAAAAAGATGGCCCCTTTAAATAGGGAGTGAATGAACCCATCACCTAATATGACATTGAAGATATTTGTGTCACTATTTCGAGCGTGATGGTAGCAAGCTTTGAAGCACGCAGTTACGCTATATTGGTGGGGACAAACAGCTCGCCTAGTTTTGTGCCACTGAAACTCGGGGCGCATAAAGGTTAAGGATTGCCGTGCATGCATTTTTCATCTGACACAGGGATATCGACATGGGAGGTTTCAGGGATATCGACATGGGAGGTTTCACGTCCCTAAACAACCATATGATTATGAGAGACGCCGTTGAGGAGGACTCCAGAAATTTCGGCACCTTGGGGTTCTTTAACGTGCACCCAAATCTGAGCACACGGGCCTACATCATTTTCGCCTCCATTGAAAATGCAGCTGCCGCAGCCGGTAATTGATCCTGTGACCTGCGGGTTAGAATACAAGTAATTTAGCCACTAGACCACAACGGCGGGGCATCACCCAACACGGTGGTCTAGTGGTTATGATGCTCAAGGGCTGACCTTGCAGGTCGTGAGATCGAATAACGGCCAAGGCGGCCGCCTTTCAATAGGAGCAAAATGCTAGGCGCTCGTGTACTTAGATTTAGGAGCACGTTCGGCACGTCAAATAATCATGATGTCGAGAGTCCTCTGCTATGGCGTCTCTCATAATCACATCTTCGGTTTGGTCAATAAGCCACATCGATAATTATCCATGCACTCATCTGGTAAAACACTAAGCACACGTCTACGCTGAGAGGCTGCCACATTGGTGCTGCACTTCAGCTGCCACACTAGTGTGACAATAATTAACGTTATCTTAATAATAGCAATCTTGCTGATTAACAGTATGCTCTTTTAATAAAACTTTTAATTGCGTAGTGACTCGCGTATTTACAAAATACGCCAGCCACTATGCCAGCGTGATTAGGTTATAGATCTGTCAAAACGAACTTTCGTGACAAGGTGCGTTTGTTGCAAACGAACCGGAGGTACTCCAAACCGCGCCGCTTAGGTGATAGCGTGGCGTTCCATTCTTTCCGCTGAAGGCATCATCAATTTCACGTTACTTGTGAAGCGACGATGCAAGCACACTGAAACACACAGACGACGAGCGAGAATCTTCGTTGTATAAGCGGCCTTCTGCATGCGTACTCTTTCAGTGAAGTGGATCAGGAACTTTCCATGAGATAAAACGTTCTACTGATTCTAAGAAGTATATCGCTTTCTCACAAATACAGCCACACACATACACACACGTACTCAAATCAAACCTTCAGTAATAATCGAACGTCACTCGCAAGTGGTAATCCAGATCAAGGTCAGAAACGGTGCTTTTCCCCTGTAGTTTGCACATGCACTAATTGCAAGTCTAACATATAGGCGGCGACTGGATCTCAGAGATAGTTTCTTTCTAAGACAGAACCTTATTTATGTGGTTTTGGGGATCATATTTTTCTAGTTTTTATCTGACGAGAAATTGGTTATGATATTAGCATTTATTTTTTACAGGATATGAACGCTTTGTTTCCAGACATTGGAAAAAACGACAAAGAAGGATTTTTGCTGCTGGCTGCCTGCCTTCATCCAAAATCCAAGGGTAGCGTTACTTTGAAAACAGGCAACGCTCTTGACGCTCTACTGATTGACCCGCAGTATTTCAATGATCCCCAAGACATTCAATGCGTGACCAATGGTATGACTTCGCAGTTTTTTGAAACTCGAGTTCAGTTCCTTTCAGTAATGCTTCAAATAAATTTGTCGCACGAGTTTTTAAAATTTATCTGACTCTTCCAAGAAACTTAATTCTTGAACTTGCTTAAAGTACAACATATCTTGCAAATCAGCAATCACCACCACTGTTAACACGTGGACGCAGACCTATCGTTTCTCTTTTCAGTTCGAGAAAAACAATGTTTGGTTTTGCTTTAATTGTTTTGATTGGTTAAAGCTTCTTTGAACCTGTTCCGTAGAATTTGCAGCGACAGCTTCGATGGTTGTTAGCCAAAAATGAGTGCTGTCCGTACGCGAAAAAGTCGACACCGATATAAATATGATTTTAAAAATGCCCAATTCGAGTGGTGATTGAACAGAGTTTTGAGTGGCAACTAAGTGTTCTACCACATGGCCATGGCAGTGCTTTAAACTGTTTTGGGAAAATGCTATATATTAGGAAAGTTATCTAGCGCCGGAAGTCTCCTTAACAATTGTAAGATTGCATGCTAAAAGCGTGGAGTTTCACTATTGGCGTCAAAGCATGTATATTTGGCCACTCTAATGGGCCGTTTAAATGCCTACCCATGACAAAGCACGTAGACACGATTAATAGTCATTACCAGCAACAGCATCAACAAAGCGGGCCCATGCACATGTGCCCGTGTTGCTCTACGAATGTGGGCTGAGTGCTTGCCAATCAACTGGCAAAAGGAAGAATTATGGCATAGTGGTTACTTCGCAAATATACTTGTAGTAGTCATTGTAGTATAGTTTGAAAGGGCTCATGTTAAGCACACCGACGTTTCTTTCTTTGCAGAACAGTCAGAGTCTTCATCGAGACTCAAGGCTGGGTTAGTGATCTAAGGAGCTATACTCACGGGGCCCGATTATGCTAACGCGTTTTACGCTTGAGGGCAGAACTCGAAACTCCCCCAAATTTTTGTAACGTAAATCTCAATCATCAATCAACTTCTCGACATGAGACTTAAAGCCCGGCCTGTCAACGTCAACTGCGTTGCGCCTTTTCAGTGCAGTGGCATCGATAACACATATTATTTCGCTTTGTTGGTGAACTTTAGTATATTTGCTCTTCACAGCAATGAAAACAGCACTGTCGCTTGTGTCGGACAAGGCCACGTCTCACCTGGGAGCGTCGGCACACTTACCTAAACTCCAGTACTGCCGTCATTTCGAGGCATCCGCTGAGAACGACGATTTTCTGGAGTGCTGGGCTCGAATGGCAGCCAGTTCGCTCCACCATCCAGTGGGAACGGTCGCCATGGGTGAAGCGTCGGACCCGTCCGCGGTGGTCGATGGACATTTCAGGTATCACCGGCTTTTTTTTTTAATGTAAATCAAACGATTTTGCCGTATGAATTATCGCGATCACTTATATCGTCTCTTGATGCATGTATTCTTTCAGTGTTTGTAGGCTTAAGCCTTACTTTAACTTGTGTGTCATGCTGAGCCTTTATGTTGCATATACGAGAAATGTACAGGCTGTACTATCAACAGCAAAAGTTCGCGAAACGTTTGATCCACAACAAATGCAAATTTCTGTGCATAATACTTGTAATGGGTGACTGTATAGGTCGGAATTCCAAGTGCAGTATGGAACATTTATTTTTAAATTACATTCCCGGCCGAATCGAAAATTTACCTTTATCGAACATTTCGCGTCCCGAAAACTTTTACTGCTGATAGTACGTCTTATATTGTTATTTTGATCACGGTGTTTGTCATGTTATGTTGAGCTATTTATATCCTATGTCTTCCACCCTCCCGAGAACCAAGGAGCATAGCCGATGCCTTAGTTCTGTGTCATTATCTCCTCAAATTATGCCAATGTATAATAAATTATTTAAAAAATGATTCCAAAACGCCCCCTATAGATTTTCCATTTTTTGTTCGCCTTTGAGCCTGCAGAAATTACAGACACTTCTCTGAGGGTGGTGAGTCATTGGCTAGCTTTATTCAAGGGAATTTAAAGAGTGCTGTCACGTTAATATCAGGATGATCATCAAGCTGGAGTACCCTCTCATTGCTAGAGCACTCTTTCTAGTGTAGAGGATCATCAGCAAGCCGCAGCCCCAAAGGAAAAAAAAACAGTGATGACGTCGCACCGGAATGCCAAAACCAGTCACGCAGGAAGACATGAATTTTTTGAAGGCTCCCATGCTAGCCCATATTGTTATTTTTAGGTAGAGTACCACTACATCACATGTTAAAGGAAAGCCTAAAGCTGGGGGTTTTCATACTGGTTTCTCCGCCAGAACGTCCTGAATACGAAGCGATACTATTGAAACTGGCACTTCTGCATACCGGCACCTATGTTGTGGCGCTATATTGTTCTCACAATATGAATAGAACTAAAGTGCAGCAAGAGAAGTGGTCTGATTTCACCGTAAAGTTGAACCCCTCATAACTAAAGTCCTCAGTAATATTCTCGCAGTAACGAAAGCGTTTGGCGCCCCGGCAAACGTCCATAGAGTTCAATGCAATTGTTCCTTCTCGACAGCCAAAACAAATTTCACAGAAGCGCTCCCGCACTCATAAAAAATTCAAGTAGTGATCGACAACATTGTTTTCAGCCCTTGAACTAGTTGACAACTCAAAAGTTGGAAAATTGCAGCACTGCTCATTCGGCAAGTTGGTCACATACGTTTCCGCCAAGAAGTATCGGTGCTTTTACATTCGGACGATGATGATAGCAACAGGAGTTTTTGCTTGTTTTTTATTTCGCCGAAAACAGTTTTTTTGCTAACACCTCTATTAGCATCTACGTTAAAACGTTTCAAGTGAGGATACTCGAAAAAGTGACGTCCTACCGACAGATATTTTGTAGACTGCCTCACCAGATTGCGTGTCGGTGTTTCCTAACTTCTTGCTGACGGGCGTGCCTCCGTGTTCGCGCCGAGATCTCTCACGCTTTGCTTCCATGGAGTGCTGTTCGGCGTTTTGGAAAGACGGTGCCTGCGATTGAAAAACCTAAATTTCAGATGCCTAACGACAACTCTAAGATCGTCCCTGAAGCAGTAAAAGGCACAAAAATGGTGGATATTGCAGAGTAATTTGGCATACCGTAATTGATGTGCATACTTTCTATTTTCGCGACATCGAAATTCTCGCAAGAGCGAACACGAGCGGGGAGTTCAACTGTATTTATTGTGATATGCAGTAGAAAGAAAGTGAAGGCAGAAGGAAGAAGAAGCGTGTAACTTATTACGAGCGCGATGTGTTTCTACGTGATAGCGAAAGAGCTCGTTTCGCGGAAATTATTTTGTCGGCGTCGTTTACTGTGTGCAAAAAATCAACGTTCTCTGAAAGTGAAACAACGAGAACGATTTAGTTGAAATAAATACTAAAACCTCGCTACAAAAAGGAATCGATTGATATGTGGCGTTTAACGTCCCAAAACCACCATTTGGTTATGAAAGAGGCCGTAGTTGAGGGCTCCAAAAATTCCAACCACCTGGGGTTCTTTAACGTGCACCCCAATCGAAGGGCATGAGCCCACAGCATTTTCGAATCCATTGAAAACGCAGCTGTCTCAGCCGGGATACGAGAACGAATTCGAACCCAGGTCGTCAGCGTGGTAATCAAGCTTTCCGCCACAGAAGCACACCATTGTTTGAAACTGATCTGAAAAAAAAAGAACTCTGTATTGACGTCTTGTAGTGAGAGAAGTCTGTTTAACGCATGCAATATTGCGTCGCAGAAGCGTTGAATCACACCAGGCGTGAAGTTGTGCTAACTGCGCCGAAAATTGGGTGCTTTCTTCAATGCCTGGTCATTACAAAGCACTCAGGCATATTTAATCACCGTCATCAGCAAACGCATGAACAAGGGGAGCAGGGTCACGTGTTGCCTTACAGAGGCGTGAGAGGGACCTTCGCTGATTCACCAAAAAAGAATTATAACGTAGTGGGCACTTAGCAAGTGCACTTGCATGCTCATTCTAGGATAGTTTGAAACGGCCAATGTTACACACACAGCCATTCGTTTCTTCGAGGCAAGGTTGAGGAATCCAGCGAGAACTAACGCTAAGCTAGCAAAAGAAAAGGCGGTGTGCATAAAACCTGATTATGCTATCGCGTTCTACACTTGAGCTTAAGCGCTCCCCAAGCTATTTTTCATGCTGCCCGAGCAATGGTAGAGACCAAAAGAGACGATTAATTTCGTTGAGATATATCACACGGTATAACTGTGTTTTAAGCTCACGGAGAAACATGAAAGAACACAGGACAATCGTTTCTTCATGCGCTGAAAACAAAGTTATACCACGCACATTCAACTAGCCCAACCTTTGCTTCTGTTGCTATATCACACAACTGACAGCTTCCATGTCGCTCATCTCACCAGACGAACTCTTTGCGTGTATTGAAGGGGCGAAACTACAAGCGCGAGAAAAAGTAGTAATAAATATTCATCTTGAGCTATAAGTAGAGAAGGGCAGTATTAGAATACAAGAGTATCTTGATAGTACCTTAGAGATAATCTTGGGTATCTGCATTCTTTTTTGCTATCAAAATCTTTTTTTAATTTTTTCTCAATCATTAGCGTTTATTTTTTAACTTCTTATACATGACGGAAATACGTCCCTTAATACTTGGTGCATACCAGCATAAAACGTTTATGTGTTTATTAAAAATAAACAATCTGAAGGCGGCCCTAATACTTCGCGCATGGTGGGGACAGTCGCATGTCGGCATTCGTGTGCCGTGGACTGTTCCGTGCGTGAACTTAGTGTTTTCGCGCACTTTCTAAGTGCAGGTTGCGTAGAATCAATCCCGTCAATGATTTGTTTTCTATGATTTTCCTAACTATTGAAAATTGACTATTACGTTAAGTAGAGTTGTGCTTGATATCAAGTTCAGACAACATAACTCTTCAGTTGGAGCAGAAACAGCCCCGCCGTGGTAGTCTAGCGGCTAAGGTAGTCGACTGCTGACCCTCAGGTCGCTGGATTAAATGCCGGCTACGGCGACTGCATTTTTGATGGAGGTCAAAGTGTTATGAGTCCGTGTGCTCAGATTTTTGATGCACGTTGAAGAACCCCAAGTGGTCGAAATTTCCGGAGTCCTCCACTATGGCCACTCTCATAATCATATGATCGTTTTTGGGACGTTAAACCCCACTTATCAATGAATCAGAAACATCTGTTTCTTATTTTTAAAAGACATTTCATGTACAATCGGAGAAACGGAAGGTAGTGCTTAGCCGGATATGCTTGAAAGAGAAGCAAGAGCGCCATTCAGTGCGGTGCGCCACAAAAAAAGACACGCCTCTAAGATGCTTCATTCTTTGCGGCCTTGCTGTAGCCAAAAGGTGTCCCGACAAGCCCGTGCCCCCCTCCCCCACCCCGAAACGTTCTTCGCCACGGAATACACAGCGAAAATAACCATTTTAAAGGCTGCCCCCCCCCTCCAAAAAAAATTTCTGCCTACGCCCCTCCTTTGCAGCGACAATCACCGCTAAGCGATCAGGTTTGAGCATTTTAAAGAAACACATCACACTTGTTTTTTTCAATGAGAAAAGCTGGTGATGGGTTCTTCAAAAACAAAATTGGCTAGTTTGGTAATGACTTTCCCTTTACTATTTGTGGCACTGTTAATTCACTTACTCGCATGAATATTGGCTATGAATCAGTATAGCACTGATTTTCCCTTTATAAGGTAGAATTCGCCCGCAAAAAAGACTAACATGCACACGGATAATTTCAAGCTTGACTTACTACCTACTCATCTTCAGCATTTCCGTGAGACTTACGCGGATTCAAGCTTATAATCGAGACTACTCACATGTATTTTGAAGCACTATCGAGCATACGCCATTGGAATGTTTATCGATCTGCGGCGTGAATTATGTAAGAGAGTACTTTGGTCCAAGGAAGTTCTTGATAAGTATGTCTTACCTTGCCATCTCTTACAAGAAAATTATCCTAACTGTTTGGCAACCACTCATAACTCGTATTCCGAGGTACAATATCAAAAGGTGCCAAGAGGAGCACCGGTTACGTGAGATAGTGGTGTTAAAAAGCATTGACCCTGTGGTCAAAAAATTTGGGGACCCTTAATCCTCGCTTTTAGAGTTTGAAGGCGATATCGATGTTCTCTTTTAGTGTCTACGCGAAATACTTAATGTATGGAATCTTTTTGAACTTAATATGCACCAACTAAGTTGTCTCAAGGGTGCAGTAGCGCATGTGACTTTGGTAGTAGGTGACTGGCTTCAAACTATCAAGTCATAATTATTCCATGTTCTTACGCACAATGGCAATGCGCGCTTGTCCCACGCATTATTATGGGAGTATTTCATGTTGTATT